GACGGTGGCAGAGGTGATGGCGGCAGCGGTGACGGCAGGGATGCATATGGCGACGGTAGCTCGGGCAACGGCGGGGATGCATATGCCGACGGCGGCAGGGACGGCGCCGTGGATGGTGATGGTAGAAGGAGCAACGGCGGGTGGCTCGGTTGACGGCAGGGTTGGTGACGATGGCTCAGGCACCGGTGGGGTTGGCAGCTGTTGGAGGGGCGACGGCGGTGACGGTGATGTTGGAAGGGGTGACGTCGGGTTGCTAGGGCGATGGCGGGGTTGGCGACGGTGGCAGAAGTGATGGCGGCAGCGGTGATGGCAGGGATGCATATGGCGACGGTAGCTCGGGCAACGGCGGGGATGCATATGCCGACGGCGGCAGGGACGGCGCCGTGGATGGTGATGGTAGAAGGAGCAACGGCGGGTGGCTCGGTTGACGGCAGGGTTGGTGACGATGGCTCAGGCACCGGTGGGGTTGGCAGCTGTTGGAGGGGCGACGGCGGTGACGGTGATGTTGGAAGGGGTGACGTCGGGTTGCTAGGGCGATGGCGGGGTTGGCGACGGTGGCAGAGGTGATGGCGGCAGCGGTGATGGCAGGGATGCATATGGCGACGGTAGCTCGGGCAACGGCGGGGATGCATATGCCGACGGCGGCAGGGACGGCGCCGTGGATGGTGATGGTAGAAGGAGCAACGGCGGGTGGCTCGGTTGACGGCAGGGTTGGTGACGATGGCTCAGGCACCGGTGGGGTTGGCAGCTGTTGGAGGGGCGACGGCGGTGACGGTGATGTTGGAAGGGGTGACGTCGGGTTGCTAGGGCGATGGCGGGGTTGGCGACGGTGGCAGAGGTGATGGCGGCAGCGGTGACGGCAGGGATGCATATGGCGACGGTAGCTCGGGCAACGGCGGGGATGCATATGCCGACGGCGGCAGGGACGGCGCCGTGGATGGTGATGGTAGAAGGAGCAACGGCGGGTGGCTCGGTTGACGGCAGGGTTGGTGACGATGGCTCAGG